TCCATACATGATGGAGAAGAACCCAGCAGAACCCAACAGAACCACAGCGGCCCAGCGGCGGCCTGCTGGGATCCATACATGATGGAGAAGAACCCAACAGAACCCAACAGAACCACAGCGGCCCAGCAGCGGCCTGCTGGGGTCCATCCATGATGGAGAAGAACCCAACAGAACCACAGCGACCCAGCGGCGGCCTGCTGGGATCCATCCATGATGGAGAAGGGAAGCTTCATTGTCTGCCATTAGTTATTATTAGACTGGAAATTACCTCACAAGCATCTTTTTCACTGGTTGCCGTGGCAACAGCATTGGCACAGAGGCTGTGAAGCAGGAAGCTGCTGCTCGTGTTCCAGGAACCAGCAGAATCGGATCCACTTCTACTAAACAGCTTTGAGTTTTCAGCTGCAGATTCATTTTTTAAGTTTATTCGTAGATTTTTATTCTTTCTTTTTTGTTTTATATCAGTTTAGAGATTTTGTTTTTGTACTTTTGCACTTTTCAGTTAAAAGTGTGTTTTTTTCCTTTTTTTTTAACCCAGATTTCTTAAATAATCTGATTTGTTTTTTTTTATAAAATTAAAATGATTGCTTTTTTTTAATCTAATTTCAAATTCATCTTATTTTCTTTGAGTTAAAGATTTTAATTGCCTTCATACATATTTAAGTTACTGATTATTTCTTTTGAATTAAGTTAGGTTTTCTTTTACATTTCTGTTTTTATTTGGGTGCAGATTTCTTTTTTTATATTTAAGTTAAATATTTAGACTTTTTTATTTGTGTTTTTTTAAATCAGACTCACAGGAAGGTTTCTGACTCTTTATGTTCCAGGTTGTGTTGTGGTTTGTGAGCTGCAGCGTTTATGCAGCAGAAGTTTGATCCGGTCTAAGAAGTTTGTGGCCACCTGGTTTAGCTGCTGATCAGCTGTAGCCTGGAGATCCTGGAAGGTGATAAAGCAAAGGGCAGATATGCAATAGTGTAATGATCCCTGGAGAAGTGCAGCCCATAAACAAGGACATGTCAGACCGCTCTATATAGTTTATCCAAATATTCATTCGTAGTATTCACTCATCTAATTTATGCTATTTGGTCTGGGCTAGGACAGGATGATGAAATAACTAAACGCTGCACACAGACTAGAGATAATGATGGATGCTGAGTGAACTATTCCTGATTCCTGTGTCTGTCCACATGGATGACACCTATTCTCTCACTGAGCGAGTCACTACTACCTTTAATAAATCGTCTCTTTGAACAGCTGATTGGCAGCAGTTAGTGCAGCTGCTATTAAAACGAACTGAATCAGGAGCAGTTTGATGGTTTCACTGGAAACACAGGCAGCCTGCATGGAGAGAAAACACACATCAGGTTAACATGGGGTTACTGTTAGTTATTAAACATTTATTTAAATAAAATATGTTAGAGGGCTGCTCAGCGGTGCAGTGGATAGCGCTGCTGCCTTGCAGCAAGAAGGTTTAGGGAACAATTCCCGGCCCTGGGTCCTTCTGCATGGAGTTTGCATGTTCTCCCTGAGCATGCGTGGGTTCTCCCCGGGTACTCCGGCTTCCTCCCACAGTTCAAAAACAGGACTGTTAGGTTAATTGACTTCTCTAAATCCTCCTTAGGTGTGAGTGGGTGTGTGAAATAGCTGCTGTCGTCTTCCAAAGTTGTACCGACATCTTTAAGGATGAAGAGACACGTTCATCGTCACTGACAGCATCTATAAAGTGCAGCAGTGATCAAATGTAAACAGTGTGGGAGAAAAAAACATGGTGCAAAAATAACCCATTGATCTGGAAGTTCAGAGAATTATTATCTATGGTGCAAATATGCAGTATTGTTGGTTTGGTGTCATCAGAGTAATGCAGAGTCTGGGACAGTTCATCAGTGTGATGGCGGTGGGGAAGAAGCTGCTGCAGAACCTGCTGGTCCTGCATTGAACGCTGTGAAGCCTCTTCCCATGGTGGGGGGGGTGAGGGGTCATTGATGATGTCACGGGCTCGGGACACGCAGCGCTGGGATGAAATGACTTTAATGTTGGTATTAATTCAGGAGGACGTTTGTAAGTAGGAAATGAAAGTGTTGTTTGAGGAGCTAGCTTCATATTACAGATTCTTTGCTAATCCTAAAGACAAATCAATTAAAGTAAACTTTTGAATGTTATTTAATATGTGAGCAATATTAATGTCAGCATGACCCACCCTGGCTCACTGGTTAACCAATGGGTTCAGTAAAAGCAGTGAGTACTAGCCAATAAGAAGCAGGGTAGCCATGGTGATTCCTTCGCTGTTCAAGGAAAAAAAAATAAAATTTAGCTCAAAGATTCTGCTTGATAGTGTGGATGAAGGGGGATTTAGAAAGGGGGAAAAGCAATGCTGATAGAAAAATAAATGGGTATACGCCGTATACCTGCATATACCCTGGACTACACCACTGCTCTGCTGCCTTTCTTCCACATGTTGCTGCATTTTATCCTCTGGTATTTTAACAGGATGGTTCACCAGCTCAGTCTTTCACTACATCCCATCTCCCTCCTTGGTTTGAACTTTACAACCTTCTTTGAGCTGCTGCAGACTAGAAAATGCACCAAAGAGGGAAGGAGTGGACAATGTGCCTGTTTCTCTTCCTGGTCACACCTGCTCTCACTCCTTATTTCATTACCATGACCGTCTGATGCTCTTAGTCAAGTTTAGTCCTGTTTTGCCCCACGGTGGTCTTCTTTGATTTAGATAAATTTCTAGCCAATGTTTACCAGCCTCTCAGTCAGACTGTAGTGAACCTCCATCTGTGAGCCCTATCCTGTTAACTAAACCAGTGGGATTCAGCTTATATGTTTATTTTGCTTGCCCAGTTACTGAAAGCACTGCTACAGAAGAGCAACAGAATTTTTAAAATTTCATATGAGTTTAATATGAAAAATGACTGACTTCATTCTCAGAATTCAGACTTGTTATCAATGTTAAACTCAAATAACTGGGACTGGGGTTCAAGGAGCTCCCATGTCAGAGGATGAAGAGAGCACATCCAGTTAGTCACAGTCAGAGAAACAGGACTACACTGGAAAACAGGCCAAGCTCCAACATCTATAAACAAAGGTGTTGATGGCAGCAGCACAGCTGATATTTCTCTCCAGGATGGAGTCACAGCCAAACAGGAACAGACCAGATGAAGCTACTATGAGAAAAAGCAGAGAGAGCAGAACGTTAGAGATTGAACTAACAGATTCTGCAGAGTGGGAGAATAGAGATAGAATGAAGCAGAATGATGAAAAAGGGGTCCCTATGTCCTCCAGCAGTCTAAGCCTATAGCAGCAGAACTATAGAGATAGCTCAGGATAACCTGAGCCACTCTAACTAGAAGCTTTATCAAAATAAAGATATATATAAACATATATCTAATGCTCTAAACTTCCAGATCAATGCGTTTTTTGCACCTTGTTTTTTCTCCCACACTGTTTAAATTTGATCACTGCTGCACTTTATGGAATGGAAATGTCACGAGAGCTGTACAAAACGAAATAAAAGTTGTCTAATTCTAGAGGGCTCCAGGGATTTGATTTGAGGTCTAATCCAGACAAATGGGTCAGCCAACCACCTCTAGTTCTGGACCGGTTCTGGTAGAACTCCAGATTATTAAAGAAGGTTGCTTGTTTTATCATGACCTGATTTTATGTGACAATTAGTTTGCATTGTTCATTGCCCTTGCCTTGAAGTAGCCTCTAGCAACCAGTTTAACGTTAGCATGGTTAGCATGTGATCATATAAGCATTAGCTTGAACTTTAGAATTGCATTCCCACCAGAACTTCTCTCCAGAAGCGCTGCTGTGTGTTCACAAGTGTGATGGAGGCCTGGGAGGACCCCCCCCTCCACCATGGTCGCCTCTCTGCCTGCAGCTCTGCTCCTACACCCCCAGCATGACAAACAGCTCCACATTGCTCCTCTCCTCTGTCTCCTACTCCTTTCGATCACACTCTCTAACCTTTTTCCTGTGGGTCTAACTTCCCTCCTTTCATTCTGCTATCAGTTAACAGTTAGAGGCTGAAGTCCCAGATGGCTTCCTGCCAGAACCGGACCTGAATCAATGAATGAGTGAAAGTACGGTTGTGGGTTCTGTGTGAAAGGCTTTTGTCTGCTTTAAATGTGCTGCCTGCCGTTGCTGTCGTACACGTGCTGAGGCGCCTTTTTGGCCAGTGAGCCTAAACTGTAAAAACAACAAATGGGCCCGGTCCAGTTTGTAGGCTTCAGGCCATCCTAGTGTCTGCTCACCAAATGAGCAAACCTGTCATTAAGTGGAAGCAAAACATAGAAATAAGGACACTATGGTGAGGTGGGCTGAAGAGGGAATAAAATGTGTGAAATATTCCTCATTCTTTCAGGTAGAACTGAAGTAGGAGGAGGTTTCATGG